CCATCACCACACCAACTTAAATTTTTGTGGTGAGAATGTTATAAATCTATGCCTTTGGCAGTTTTGAAATATATAATACATTATTAACTGTGGTCACTATGCAGTGCAATAGTTCACTAAAACTTTTTCTTCCAGTCTAACAAACTTGGTTCCCTTTGATCAGCACTTCCTCTTCTCCATTCCTCTTCTCCAATCCCTCACCTTTGTCCCCTCAGCCTCTAGTAACCACTATCTATTCTGTTTCTATGAGATCAACTCTCTTAGATTTCACTAAAAAGATTAGATTTTAGATCACTATTTGTCTATATCTAGCTTATTTCACTTAGGATAATGTCCTCTAGGTCTATCCATTTTATCACAAATGATAGGGTTTTTTTCTTCTTATTTTTAAGGCTGAATAGTATTCCACTGTACGTTATATATCACATTTTCTTTATCCATTCATCCACTGATAAACACCTGGGTTGCTTCCATATCTTGTCTATTGTGAATACTACTGCAATGAACATGGAAGTGTACACACCTCTTAGACAATTTCAATTCCTTTGGATACACGCCCAAAAGTGGAATTGCTGGATTGGTATATAATAATTTGATATATATTTAAAACATTTCTAGTTTTTCACTATTATGCTGCTATTAATATCATTACATATTTCTTTAAGTACTGGTCCTTACATTTCTATTGGATAAACCCTCATAAGTAGAATTTTCAGGCCAGAGAATGTCATTTTAATAAATATTGCTACATTAAAGAGCGAGGTGGCTCACGCCTGTAATCCCAGCACTTTGGGAGGCTGAGGAGGGTGGATCACAAGGTCAGGAGTTCGAGACCAGCCTGGCCAATATGGTGAAACCCGTGTCTACTAAAAATACAAAAATTAATCGGGCATGTTGGTGTGTGCCTGTAGTCCCAGCTACTCAGGAGGCTGGGGCAGGAGAATTGCTTGAACCTTGGAGGCGGAGGTTGCAGTGAGCCAAGATTGCACCACTGCACTCCAGCCTGGGTGATAGGGTGAGACTCTGTCTCTAAATAAATAAATAAATAAATATTGCTACATTAAGTTCCCAAAAAGTAATACTAACTTACAGACCCACCAATAATTTGAGAGTACTGTTTTCCCCATGCCCTATTGGTACTATAAATTATATTCATTTTTGTCCACCTGATGGGGAGGGCAGGGGGATGCTATACATTATTAGTGACAGAGAACATCTTTCTGTTCACTGTCTGTCTATATTTCATCCTTTTGTGAACTGCCTGTTCCAATCTTTTGTCTTTGATTCTGTTGGTTTGTCTTCTTATTTGTACTAACTTACTTAAGATGTCTTTTATCAAAGTTCTTAAATTTTTTCTGCAATCGAATCTGCCAAGTTTTCATCTTACGGATTACAAATTCCTAAATTTTGCTTAGGCCCCTTCTGCTAATCAAGAATTATTAAAATAATCTCCTATGTTTTCTCCTAATTATTTTATTATAATTTTTTGGTTTTACATTTAGATCTTTAATCCATCTGTAATTTATTCATGTGGTGTAATGACTTAGGAGTTATTCCAACACTATTTGTTGAATTATCCATCTTTAAATGATTCCTCCTAGAGTAGCAGATCACTACAACACAGCAGACAAACAAAATTCTTAACGTCACTAGAAATTCTTAAACGTCATTACTTAAATCAATATCAAAAGATTATTAAAAGACATTCAACATTTTCTCATTTAAAAAAATCACACATTAGGACACATGCACACAGTGTACCACTCTCAACAAACACTGTGAAGTGTTTTGCTTTGTTTTTTTAACATAGTAGCAACCTAAATTAAATCGCTGATCTAACTATGTAAGTCTGATCTTGTTTTCAACATAAATGGTAAAAACATAAATAATCATTGCTTGAAATCTCAAGATTAATCATTGATTTGAGTCACAAATATTTATTGAGTACCAACTGACTATGGATACAACAAGGAACAAAATAAATTTGATCCCTACTTTCAGGAAGCTTGCAATCTAGTAGGAGCTTCTTCTCTCTTCTAGAAAATAACGTATTTTAAGTGAAAAAGGAAAAAAAAGAAATGTATGTTCACACAAACGCAATGCAGTGAAAAACATTCCCGCAAATTTTACGACACATTCTGTATTTCCCATTTCCAAAATACCATCTTACTTCTTCAAATGTACCTATTTATGTAGTGACTGTCTGCATTACCAAATACTCATGTTGAAAACACTGCTAGGGAGTTATGACTAATTCTATTAGCCTATATCTAAAAGTACCTATGTTTAGTCTCCTCAGTTTCTCAACAATATTTAGTTTCTTTCATTACAATAAGAACCTCAATAAGAGAGAAATTAGAAATCTATATACATTAGTCATGTTCAGTCCAACGACTCAAAGATATTTCTTTAAAGTACCTGCAGATTTAAAAATATTTCAATGAATCCGGCCAGGCGTGGTGGTGGGCGCCTGTAATCCCAGCTACTCGGGAGACTGAGGCAGGAGAATCGCTTGAACCCAGGAGATGGAGGTTGCAGTGAGCCGAGATCGTGCCATTGCACTCCAGCCTGAGCTACAAGAGCGAAACTCCATCTCAAAAAAAAAAAAAAAAAAAATTTCCATGAATCCTAGAGTCTTAAGACTCTTAATAAATGGCACTACTACGTCGCTTGGAGAGGGAGCAAGAAGTCTGGTGGTCCTTCGATGACAACAAGTAACAATTGAGTAATGACAGTCACCTTAAACTTTGGGTACCAAGACCCAGAAGCTGCCCCACTCTTAGACGGAAGTGTTCAGATGCTTGTCCCTGTGGTAACGCCCCCCACCTCAATCCCAATTCAAGGTCTCCTCCTCATACTCCAGCACCTCCCAACGGAATGGGGAGATGGACAATGGACCGCCCAACGGAAGGAGACGGAACGCCTGCTCCTGCGGGGTGACCTTGGCCAAGCGTCTCCTCCTCAGTTTTTCCATCCTTGAGATAAGGTTGGTAGTCCGTGCCCGCCTCCACCCTCCGGCCTGGGTTCAGCGCATAATGCCGCAAGGCTAGAGGAAGACCCCAGCCCTGTACCCCACGCAGCTCCCGGAGACCGCGCCGCCACCTCCTGGGTCTGCGGCCACGCGCGATACCTGCAATCTGGGAGACGAAGGCTTCCGCCACTAGAGACATGTCGGCTGGGCGGCCCTGAGCCCGGGTGCCTGCCCCGCCCCGCGAGCCTCAGCGTCCTCCACCGCAAACCCGGAGGCTCTCGGCAGCTAACGAGCCTAGAGCAGCTGAGGTTCAGACTCGCAAAGCCCACTCCAGCAGCCGCGGAGGAACCAGTGAGGCTCCCAAGGTTACCGCCAGGCCCGGCTAGGAACTTCCGGCGCAGCTGACAACGGCGCTCGAGTGCTTCCGTCGGCCCCGCCCCAGCGCCCTCCTACCAGGCGCCACCGCAGCGAGCTGGGTCCCGCCAATTCCAGGCTCAGTGTTGGGGCCCTGCAGGTGGAAGTCAGGTACCCAACTCGCCTCCCACCTAGGGGACCTGCAGGGGGATCTGGAAGATTTTTAGTGTCCTTTCTGTAAGCTAGAATTTTGTAAGCAAGTAACATTTGTAAACGTCGCCCATTGGATATCAGACACACACACACACACACACACACATATATATGTATATGTATATATATATATGTACATACGTATGTATATACATACATATATATATATATATATATATATATATATATATAGTATTTGACTTTGGTCATCCTCTCAACAACCCATTAAAGTAATAATATTATCGCCATTTTACGGATAAGAATATAGGCTTTAGGAATTTAAACTGCCTGCCCAGGCACTCCTCTGAGGCCCAGATTCAAGGCTGTGTGAATTCCCTCTATTCTACTATATTGCTGGGTTGATTAGTCTGTGGATAGACATTAGTGTGTTTTTTTTTTTTTTCTTAATTCAAACATGCTTGGCAGAAGGAGGCTTGAGCAGTGCCTAAGCCGGAAGATAATTTGTCCTTCAACTACATACACCCGAAATGATGCTCAGCTTAGAAAATAAGATACTTTAGTTTCACACATGTCTCACCTTCGGGAGTGAAAGGGGCAGGAAGAGAAGACACTAAATTTCCTGAGTGACTTTCTCTTAAGCTAATAGTTTCTTAAATTACACAATTAAAGAAAAATCATATACATTACAGATTGCCATTATTACAAGTGGGACAGTCTTCAGAGCTGTTAAGTCAAAGTCCCCTTCACTGATGAGAAACAGGTTCAGAGAGGAGAGGTGACTCACTTTAAATCACACAGTAAATCAAAAAGTCAGACAGCTTACTAAGTTTTTGCAGAGGAAAGCTGTGTTCTAAGAATTACTGTCCATGACATTTAGAAAGCTATATTTCCATTCTTTGTATTCATAGATCTCTATTACCGTTCATTCTGCCTCCTTAACTAGTGTGTTGGTTTCCTAGAGCTGCCAAATTACCACAAACTGGGTGGCTAAACAACAGAAATTTATTCTCACAATTCTGGAGGCTAGAAGTCTGAAATCAAGGTGTCAGCAGGGCCATCCTGTCTTGCAAGGCTCCAGAGAAGGGGGTTGCCACCAATCCTCCATGTACCTTGGCTTGTAGATATGTCACTCCAATCTCTGCCACCATCATCACATGGCATTCCCCCTGCATGTCGATGTGTCCAAATTTCTCTCTTCTTGAGAAATAACACCAGTCATTGTGTTAGGGCCCACCCTAATCCAGTAGGACACATCTTAACTTGATTTCTTTTTTTTTTTTTGAGATGAAGTATTGATGCATCACCTAGCCTGGAGTATAGTGGCGTAATCTTGGGCCGCTGCAACCTCCGCCTCCCGGGTTCAAGCGATTCTCCTACCTTGGCCTCCCAAATAGCTGGGATTATAAGTGCATGCCACCACACCCAGCTAATTTTTGTATTTTTAGTAGAGATGGGGTTTCACCATGTTGGCCAGGCTGGTCTCTGACTCCTGACCTCGTGATCTGCCCCCCCACCCACCGCCGGGCTTCCCAAAGGGCTGGAACTACAGGTGTGAGCCACTGTGCCTGGCCCCATAATGTTTTTTAAGGGTAAGTCATATTTTCATCTCCCTCAGCAAAAGGAAGCTTGTTAAACTACATTTAAATTTACCCAATAATTTACATTGACGTAAACACAGCAGTGTCTTAGGAAGTAGTGTCTTCTCTGTTGCTGAAATTCAGACTTAACAAGCAGCTGTGAATAGCAGAAATACAGGGAAGATAATAGGTTTTTCTGATTTGTGCAGAGAGAGGTAGCACTGATAGTAAAGAGTACATGAGGTCCATTTCCTCCACATCCCATAGGTGATATTGACCAAGAGAAATGAGCTGTTTCAGGTACTTTGTTATCAATCAAAAGAAAAGCTTTCAGACTCTATCTGTTCTCCTCATGGTGGAGAATTATGTATAACTGTAATAATGAAGAAAACATGTCATCACTTTAAGTTCTATTATCAATTTTGGTTTGTCATCTTTATAAAGCTAAAGACACAGTGTTTTAACTACTTTTTGATAGATTTGAAGTTTAAAATTCCTCCATATCATAGGGCCTGTGTGGGAACTTGAGCCAAAGTCCATAAAGAGTAATAATGACGATTCAACTGGAGAAATCAAAATCAAGCATATCCAAAGGGTAGAAGTGAGCCCTAAAGTGGAAGAGATTGGCAAGAGCCAGAGAATGGACACAGATGTAAGAGAAACAGAGCAAGATGAGAGGCAAAGTAGAATGTGCCCTTACAATTTCAGTTAAGCACCCATGGCTTGATGCATGGTACATGCATAAACTGAGCTGGCTCAAAGGTACTGGATTGGGTCTGACACCAATCTTTATTATGGCAAGTGCCTTCGTTCATTAGGGCTGCTATAACAAAATATCTTAAACTGGATAATTTATAAACAACAGAAATGTATTGCCCTCACTTTCAGAGGCTGGAAAGTCCATGATCAAGGCACCAGCAGATTGAGTGTCTTGCGAGGTCCCAATTTTCATAGATAGCACTTTGTACATGTCTTCACATGGCAGAAAGGCAAAAGGAGCAAATAAACTCCCTTGGGCCTCTTTTATAAAGGCACTAATCCCATAGGCAAGGGCAGAGCCCTCTTGACCTAATTACCTCCTAAATTCCCCACCTCTTCTTAATGCTATCACATTGGCAATTAAGTTTCAACATTTGAGTTGCTGAGGGACGCAAATATTCAAACCATAGCAGCACGCTTTTTCGAAAAAAACAGAGAAGTGTTGGGGGCATTGTCTATATTCAACTCTCTTCATTTTAGCCAGGGAAGCAGAATCATCAGCACCATATGGATTCACTTTTTCTCGTGACTGATGATTCTTTTGCTTCCCACACAGGCACATTTAGGCTGGAAAGAATCTGTAATGTGGGAGGTCTTTACTAACAAAAATTAAGTCCAATAAAATGCAGATGTCTTGATGGTACCCACAGATAAACTGTCTTTGTAATAAATAGCCAACTGGAGAAAATATATGTACACATCTGTATTAAAACGACTGGCAGATTTAAAACTGAAGATTTGTTTAAGATCACCACAATTAAGGAAAATACAAGAAAACAAGCCACCAGAATTTTTAAGAATGAGGTTATAAAACAAAAGTGCTGAGGAATCTATATGTTACTGAAAGGATAATCACACAATTTTTAAAATAAAAATATCAAGGCATGACATTATCAGTCTTATTGTTTGTCCTAATAAAATCACTTTCTTGCAAAACTATTATAGAATATTTTAATGTCCCTAATCTAGATTTTTATGTTACTGTATTAAATGTAAGACAACAAACAGTTATTATGATGAATATATGCTTATTAAGATTAAAATATTAAGATGTTTTATCTACATTTTAATTTTCTCTGACAGAATGTTAATATTTTTAAATAAATATTTTATTTTTGAAAAGGTGTCTGCAAGATAACATTTTTTTCTAGGATTCCTTTAAAATTACTATTTACTTGAGAACAATATATAAATTCAGATCTTTTTATCAAATTAGTCCCTTATCCCCCATCAAAAGAATTAACTATCGTTAAATCAACCAACCCAAAAAGCGTGTTAATACAGTTAAAAACACTAAAGTAACTGTATTAGTTCATTCTCACACTGCTATAAAGAACTACCTGAGACTGGGTAATTATTATAAAGAAAAGAGGTTTAATTCATTCACGGTTCTGCAGGCTGAACAGGAAGCATGGCTGGGAGGCCTTAGGAAACTTGCAATCATGGTGGAAGGCAAAGGGGAAGCAAGCATGTCTTACCATGGTGGAGCAGGAGGAAGAGAGAGAGAAGGGAGAAGTGCCACACACTTTTAAAGTATCAGATCTCGTGAAAACTCACTCACTATCACAAGAACAGCAAGGGGGAAATCTGCCCCCATGATCCAATCACCTCCCACTAGGCCCCTCCTCCAACTGGACATGAGATTTGAGTGGGGATACAAATCCAAACCATATCAGTGACAATGTTATGCTTCAGGGCCTTAATTTCATCTGTTAATAGTCTTTACTGCCTTAGAAACAAACTGTAGACAACTATAAGCAATCTAATATATAAGGTTTACAAAGATTTTTTGAAAGGGTAGATAAATGTGACAGTCATTCATCCTTGTATCTCTCAACTCCTTTCTTCCCTTTGTAATTCCTAAGAAATTATAATCAACTCAGTGCTGTTACATTCTTACCTTTTTCTCACTTTGTGTTCTTACCCTGTATTTTAGGCTAGCACGCTGTCACATAAACTATGGCATATTTGACCATGCTTTGGAAAATATCTTCAATATCGATTGTAGTGGACCTACATTCTTCAAATATTAACTGCTTTTCAAAAGAAATTAAAATGCTAAATTTCCAAACTATTCTTCTACCTTGAGCCTATTTGTTGCCTCACTTTTATAGCTTTACCTTATTATAGGGAACTGAATCTTTTTACTGTATCTATTGACTGCTCTTTGCTGGTGGTAGTAATGTCTTATCTACAGTTACAGGAACTGTATGGTTAGGACTTCCCTGGTTGCAACTTTTATTAAAAAAAAAAAAAACACGTACATGCGATTAAAGTCAGCTTAAGCAAGTTTAGTTTTATTGCCTCATAGTGGAAGAAAAGATACAGAAATGATTCACAGAATGGAATGGACGGTTCTAGGAACCAATAGTTTAGTCCTTCAGCTCTTTGCCTATCTCTTATTTCTGTTCAGCTTTATGCTTTTTAACTGAAGACACACATTCTCTCAGATGGCAGGAAAAAATAGCAGCCAGCAGTACCAACTTAACATCTTCCAGGCTTGGCAACCCAAGAGTAAAGAGAGTTACTCTATTCCAACTTCCTTGTACTGTATTCATTTCAAGGAAGAAGTATAATTGTCCTCGTTTGCATGGTCTTACCCTGGATTACGTACTTTGTCCAAGTGAATGGGCTGAATGATTTACCAGGCCAGGGGGAAATGGGGCCTGTGACAAGAAGGGAAATGGGAGAAAATATGCTTGAGGTCAGGTACAGTGGCTCATGCCTATAATCCCTGCACTTTGGAAGGTTGAGGCAGCTTCCAGATAACATAGTGAAACCCCATCTTTACCAAAATTACCAAAATTAACCAGGTGTAGTGGTAGGAGGATCTGCTTGAGCCTGGCAAGTTGAGGCTGTTTTTTATCACACTGGGTAGAACTTCTTTGAAAGTGACTAATATAGCAAGTGTTCTAACCTGTTTGCCTCTAGGTCTTGCACAGTCAACAGCCTATTAATTATACTGCTGACAGGCTGTTTCAAACTAGCTCCATGTTCCATGGCAGAGATTCACTCTTATAGTAGTAATGAGAGAACGTGCAGATAGAACAATAACCAAATACATTATTGTTTGATTATTCTTATTTAAGACTGTATACAGATGGGCAAGACACATCTGGCTGTGTGATTTCTATTGTTGAATACTAAATAATGTGTTAAGCAGGGAGAAATTGCCAAATTTTGGGGACCAGTTACTGATACTTTTGATAATTTGACATTGATTTTAAACTGTATTTGAGTTGTTACATTTTACCTATAGCCCCTTAACAACGTTGAAAGGATGGTGATGATGTTTAAGGAGCCCTGAAGCAAGAGCATTGGCAAATAACTGGTAAGAGTTTACTCTAAAGAAGCAGAAATTTGAAAGGACTGCTGAATGCTTAGAACTACTTTGAGGAAACGGCTTCCATGATGGAGAAATAGGTCCCTCTAATGTAAAGCTGGCATCTAGAAGGTAATGCAAAACAGCATGGTCATCACCATTTTCCTTTGCCGTCTGTTCAAATCAGAATCTATAGTAGAGAATGAGATTCATTCACTCATTCATTCTTCAGGTAATTATTGAATCTCATTTTGGAGTGTTGAGTCCTCAATGTGTAGAGATACATGGTGAACAAAAGTCAGTGTGCTCTCCAGAGGTTTACTATCCAATTGAGATGTTCAACCAAAAAGGCCATTTCAACACAGTGTGTAATACATGCTACTGAAAGAGTATCCAAATGCATTCAAAGTCATAAACAATGTTATCAATGTTTTACGTTGCCATGCTGCACAGCTACCACACTCTTCAGTGTAAGTGATATGCCCTTGCCAGGATATGACTTTCTGAAATTTGGCTATCTGAAAAATAACTAACTGGGCTAGTAGGTAATACAACTTCAGTAATCTGAAACCTCATCAAATATCTTGGCATTCACAAGGATAATGACCAACCTTGTTTTGGCACATACTTCAAGCTGGCAATTCCTCAGAGGCACAATGTGCTTTGTTCATGGCAGTTCCTTCCTTCCTACATAAAATGAAAACATCACATCATATAACTCTTCAAAATTATTGAAAGTAGCCATTTTAAGCTGTTGGTTAATGTGAAATATTTGGTATCTTGCCAACTTCCTTTTTTTTTTCTTAACAGTATCCCAGAAATAAAGCACAGGAACTCAAACAGAATAAAAACAACTAATATCAGATAGTAGTTCCTCCTGCCAATCACAGAAATCGTTTCCATTTTTTCTCTGGATTTTTTTTAATTGACTGAATATTCCTCTCTTCCATGTTGAACCCAGTTATTCACATGAATCCACATGAACTTTTTCTAGATCTTCTCTTTAGCTTTGTCTGCATTTTACTGCAAGTAAAGAACCTAATTCCAAGTATTAAAAATCTGCCTCTGCTTTGTTTAAAGTTGTACTTAGAATGCCAGTAGTGCTGTCAGGCTACTCCTCAAGTTCAGAAAAAAAGAATATTGTGTATGGAGCACTCCAAGCACATTAGTTGCATCTAAACTGCAATCTAAGGCTGAAGTATTAAAATATCAGATAAGAAGGCCTTTCACTAGCTTAGGAAAGGATCAGAGAATTCAATTTCTCCACACAACTCCCTCATCCAGTTTTCTCCAGGGGATTTGTAACTAGATCCCTACATAGCTGAGAAAAAAAAAAACTAGCTTATATATCTAGGAGTATAGTTGTGCACATACAAAAACGTAAATATGGAAAACAATTTCAGTGTCTTAAAATGAAATGAAGTCAGGGTAAATGAAGATAATACTTAATAACTTTTTAAAAATAATAAATTTACTTTGGTCTCTAACAACAATTTAAAGGTCTTATAAGTAACCTATACATTTTTCTTATATCTCTCAACTTTTTCTTAATGCTATTATCATGTTGAACTGTATGTTAACAGCAAGACACAGGATTTTAGAAAAAAAATTGGCTTACCAGAAAACATGTTAAGCTTACTAGCACTGCCAGATTATGTTGTCATAAGAAAATACTTTATGAGTCCAGCATGCTTTCACTGTGCTACTCTGCTACATAGAAAATACTTTAAAGAAAATGAAAATTGGATTAGAATATACTATAAGAGGCCCAAAATTAAATTAAATAAAACCTTTCAGTAGGTTTCTTTTAATTTCAGTTCCTGAGTATTAAAGTACTTATTCCTAATAGCTGAAACTTATGTCCTAATTTATCTAATTGTCTTTAACTTTTATTGTGAATAATTTTAGACTTATAGAAAAGTGGTAAACATTTTACAGAGAATTATCATATGCCCTTCACTCAGTTTTCTCTACTATTAATATCTAAATAGAATTTTTTATTTTATGTAAATACAAAGTAGTATTTGCAAATGTGGTATATTTTTATTTGTAAAATATACATATATTTGTTAAGTATAAAATATAACATAGCAAAATTATTGAAACCAGGAAATTATAATACTATTGACCAATCTACAAAGTTTATTCTAATTTGTCCAGTTTTCCCACTAACTTCTTTCTTCTGGTCCAGGATCCTACACTGCATTTAGTTGTCATGTCTCTAGTTTCCAATCAGTGACAGTGCCTCAGTTTTTCTTTTATCTTTGTGTTTCGTGACATTGACACTTTCGATAAATACTGGTCAGTTCTTTTGTACAGTGTCTCTTAATTTGGGTTTGCCTGATATTTCTCATGATAAATTGAGGTTATGTGTTTTTGGCAAGCATACCATTGAAGTGACATCGTGTCTTTGCCAATATGTCATGTTACGGTGTACACATCAATATATCTTATTATTGGTAATATTAAATGTGATCATTTAGTTAGGGTAGTATCTGCCAGTTTCTCCATTATAAAGTGACTTTTTTCTTTGTAATTAATAAGCACATTGTGGGAGCTACTTTGAGACTATGAAAAATCCTGTTTCTAATCATACTTTTGTCCAGTAACTTTAGTGTTGGTGGATGATTCTTGCCTGCAACAATGATTGCTTTGGTGTTTGCCTAATGGTGACTTTCTATAATATTTTCAACATTTCTTCTACATTTATTAATTTAAATTCTACTTATAAAGAAGACCTCTGCCTTCTTCACCTTTATTTATATCAGTATAAATGTATGGATATTCATTTTATTCTATTCATTATAATAAAAAACTAATTTTTTTTTTGCTCAGTTTTTCTCAGATTTCTCTATTGGTGATCTTTCAAGTTGATTTCTGTGTCCTTCCAAAAATACCTGTATTATCTTTTGAGCAATTCTTTATTTCCTTATTTTCTCATGCTAGAAGATATTCTAGACTAATTTTCCACTTTCCCTGCCACAGACACAGAAGCAATCATTTTCCAAGGAACCTTGGTTTCTTTTAGTAGAGAATGATATTTAGAAACCAAGTCCTGGACTGGGCGTGGTAGCTCATACCTGTAATCCCAGCACTTTGGGAGGCCAAGGTGGGCAGATCACATGAGGTCAGGAGTTCCAGACCATTTTGGCCCACATGGTGAAACCCTGTCTCTACTAAAAATACAAAAAAAAAAAAAAAAATAGCTAGGTTTGGTGGTGCGCACCTGTAATATGAGCTACTCCAGAGGCTGAGGCAAGAGAATCACTTGAACCAGTGAGCCAAGATCATGCTACTGTACTCCAGCCTGAGCCACAGAGTGAGACTGTCTCAGAAAAGAAAAGAAAAAAAGCAAAGCAAGGCAAAGAAACCAAAATCTGTCTGTTAGGTATGCCCAGTGTTCCTGGGTTGTCATGGCTCCCAGGTCCTCTCAGCCCACAAAGACAGGAAATATGTATGTGTATTAACTCACTCTCACATGTCTGCATTTATTTCTAAAAATATCTATGTGTATGTGTATGTAAAAGCATGAGTTTATACTGATACCTTCCATGTTAATCCAACACAAAGTTCATTCTAGCCTTCCCCTCTTTCCTTATGTGTAACTTTTTTCTCTGACAGTGAGAAAGCTGGCTCTCCTTATCCATAATGTATTTTCTTATTTGTTCAATCATAGTAATGTGTACACATGAAGTACTTTAAGAATTGCAAACTCATCTCCCCAAGAAACAAATTTACTAATTAGAGTACATTTCTGTGCAGGTTTTTAGTCTTTCATCTTACAGTTTATATGCAAAATACTATTTTCCAAGGTTACTCAAGTTAGTTCTTTCCTTCCCCACTTACTTCAGTGTGATTCTGCTATTCATTTAATACACTTAGTTTCGTCTACCACTCTTCATATTCCATATGGGGTTCCCCCATATGCTGGCTGATTTTAATTATTTATTTGGGGAGGTAGATATGTGGGCCATTACCATGTTTATGGCAGTCAGAGCTATACAGAAAGATGTACAGGCCAGGTATAGTGGCTCGGACCTGTAATCCCAGCACTTTGGGAGGCCTAGGCAGGAGGATCACTTGAACCCATGAATTCAAGACTAGCCTGAACAACATAGTAAGACCCCCACCACTACAAAAAAATTTGTAAATTAGCCTGGCGGGCTAGGTGTGGTGGCTCACACCAGTAATCCCAGTACTTTGGGAGGCCAAGGCGGGCGGATCACAAGGTTAAGAGATGAAGACAGCCCTGGCCAAGATTGTGAAACCCCATCTCTACTAAAAATATAAAAATTAGCCAGGCATGGTGGCACATGCCTGTAGTCCCAGCTACTCGGGAGGCTGAGGCAGGAGGTTCGCTTGAACCCGGGAAGCTGAGGTTTCAGTGAGCCAAGATCTTGCCATTGCACTCCAGCCTGGTGAAAGAGCAAGATTGCATGTGTCTAAAAAAACAAAAGAAATGGAAAAAAAAAAAATAGCCAATTATCCATGCAGCTGGGCACAGTGGCTCACGCTTATAATTCCCAAATTTTGAGAGATCAGAGCTATATAGAAAGATGTACAGGCCAGGTATGGTGGTTTGAGGCAGGTGGATCCTGAGGTCAGGAGTTCAAAAACATCCTGGCCAAGATGGTGAAACCCCGTCTCTGCTAAAAATACAAAAAAATTAGTGGGCATGGTGGTGCACACCTATAATCCCAGCTACGTAGGAGGCTGAATCAGAGAATTGCTTAAACCTGGGAGGCAGAGGTTGCAGTGAGCCGAAATGGTACCACTGCACTCTAGCCTGGGCAACAGAGTGAATCTCAGAAAAAAAAAAAAAAATAGCCAGGTGTGGTGGTGCATACGTAGTCCCAGCTACCCAGAAGGCTGAAGTGAGAAGATCACTTGAGACTCCGGGTTCGAGGCTGCAGTGAGCCATCATCATGCCACTGCATTCCAGCCTGGGTGACAGAACCAGACTCTGTTTCAAAAACAAAACAAAGCAGAAACAAAAGATTTGTACAGAGAAGTGGCACTTTCCCTCATTCCTCCTACACATTCTTTCCACCCCATGCCTGTCCACTCCCTGTAGGTAACCAATCTCATTGATTCTGGTTTATCCCTCCTGCATTTATCTGTGAGCAGATAAATGTTTATTTTCTTAAAATCCCCTTCTTTTAACATGAAGTACTTTATCTTCTTTGATTTTTTTTTTTTTTGTAGTTTTTGCTTTTCAGGGTTGTCCTGACTATCGCTGTGTGTTTGTTTTTCCAAATGAACTTTGTGTCAACTTATATAGCTCCATAAAAAAGCTGCTTGGTATTTTTATTGGAATTGCATTAAATCTATAAATTGATTTAAGGATAACTGACAGGTTTATATTGTTGACTCATCTTACCCAAGAATAAAGATTGCCTTTCCATTTGCACAAGTCTACTTTTCTGGCTTTCTGAAGTGTTTTAAATTGTTCATATCTCGGTTTTGCATATTTTGTATTATGTTTATTCCTGAGTTTTTAATCTTCTTTATTGCTATTAAAATGGGATTTTTCTCTAACTTTATGTACTGTAACTGGTTATTGGTTGTATATATGAAGGCTATTCATTTTGACATTTTGCCTTACATTTAAAATGTTAAATAGTTGACTTTGGTGACTAAATAGAGGTTATCCTTTGTGATTTTGAAAAAAGGACTTTAAGAGCGGT